CCCTCCCCCACCTCTGCTAACGTACGTATGCGAAATGTGGACCCTTAACCTAAAGGCTTTTCATCAAACGAAGACCACGGAGCCCAGCGCTGAAAGATGTACATTAGGAATAACATGAAATAATTACAAGATATATGAGCCGGTAAGAGTGCAAACAGGAATCTGTGAATTCACTGCGAGAGTGACGTGGCTATAGTTCCCATGGGCAGAGAGTTGGCAAAAGTAACTTACCATCGCTGGATAAGAGAGACATTATGCTTGGTTCCAAGCGACACTAAACAGCTCGTAGGAAGAGCTCCAAATCGGTGCCAGGACTGGGTAAAGAAGTTCGTCTGACCAAGACGGACAAGAGTCGCAGAAAACATTATGTCATGGCAAAGTCTTGGAAAGGTGTTCATCCAGCAGTAGATCGAATGTCCTTGATGATGATGAAATTACTTCAAAATAGAAGGTTTCTGGAAGCTCGCAGTAGACTTATGAGGTAACCATAAATAAATAGCGTTGTTTATTTGACTCCGTTCTCATAGGGACGTTTTTGCCTTGTCCATCGCTAAAATGAAAAACAACTCATTGTACTGTTATCAGACGAAGTAGGATGCCTTCCCATGTGCGCGAAGAGTTATGTAACTTTGCCGAGAAGAAGACCGCACGTCTGTCTTCGTATTTATGGCCAATAGCCGACGGCAAAACGGAACTGAGCTTTCGACTAGGAGCAGAGACAGTTTTTCCTCATACCTCAAGTTCTAACGTATGGAACAAATTCAGAGCAAAGTTTTAATAGCTTCTTAAGCGGAAAGTTCAGAGTTATCAACACGAAAAGGCGCGGCTCAGTTTTTTTCGTGTCAGAAAAAAAATACATTGGGTTCCAACAAGTGAAAATTGTCAGGACAACATGAGCAGTAACATGCTCCTAGCAGAGGGAATGAAACTTAGAGACATATTCGTACGGAGTAGCTCATTATTTCATAATGGCAATGGGAATTTTGTCAGTTCATATGTAAAGACGTAATAAAAATGAATGTTGGCCAAAGCGTACATTATTATAACCAGGACCGCCAATGGAAGTAAATTCGAGTTACCGATGATGAGACGATATGTTCAACTTAAAGCTGCCAATTCGCAGTTGCGATAGTAAAAATATATAATGCTAGAATAGTGAGTAATAAGAAGGATTTTCTTAGCAGTGCCATACTGTAAAGAATCTAAAAGATACGGAATTGCAATATGATTATAATTTGAATGTCTGGCATTGTCAAAAATTAGAATCTTTTATGTGGCGCTTTCTGAAGAGGCAAAAAATAAGGCGAAACAAGAGAGCGACTCCTGAAGCTGCTGTCTCGCAATATTAAAAACCACAAGTAAAGAAGAACTGATGAACGGAACAATACATGTCGAACAGTGGAGGTGGAACTTTCTAACAGTAGCTTTGCCGTTGGAAAGCTGAAGATCAAATATTCTTATTAAATTTTATATCTTTTATGCAGGTAGATAAACTTCAACGGACATAGAGTGCCTACGTATAAGATGATGACTTTTCAGCTTTGAGGAACGAGCTAAAAGTCACATGACTTAGAGGAGTCTCACTTCTTTCTTCGTGAACCTCTGTTGTTCAGAAAATTCTGGTCGACGGGATAAAATCAATCGACAGTGCTGCAAGAGAAAATGAGATGTTCAAATCTGCCAGCATGAGAATGAAGAATTGCCGTAATGACGTCACTAAATGCATTTGAATTTTACTTATGCATTTGATTAATAGCCACGAGAAGCCCTTCGGATATCTGCAACAACACTGTAACTTTTCGTCGCGGCTATTCATCTTTCGCTGGCTCATGGAGTACGTTTTTGCGGCAGTCAGGCAGTGATCTGGAAATGCAGGGACAGAAAATGCTTGTTTTGCAGCTTCCCTTGCTTAAAAAAATAATATACCAAAAAATTAACAATAACGGCAATGTAAAATATAATTTATAACTTATGGTTCACAAGCTCAGCAACAAAAATTCTGTAAAACCTTTGTCCGAAAAACAGCTCAATCATGTGGGGGGATCCTATTTGCTCAGGAACGATTTAATGATTTACTCTGATTATCTTCCGCTCTACATATTTAAATGACTCACCTCTTTATCGGCTGAAAATCAGGTCCTTTTGCGCACTCGACACTCGAATCAGGCGTCTGGCATTGGATCTGATTACCATACGTTTGCAGCTGAGCATCTTTGGATTCAGCGGTGTCACACTGATATTCCTCGGGTGAAGCGAAGTAATTTCTCGATACTGACAACTTAAACGAGCCAGGAAATTGTTCCAGCGCCTTCCACAATACCCACTGAGGAAGCGCAACATCCATAAGGCGTATAGCGACTGTGACGTCAGACTGAGTCAAGGGTGGGAGATCCAAAATATCCTAAATTAGGGAGTACGCAAAAATCCTTTGAATGTAGAGGCGAGAAATGGTTTTTGCAATACGCCGTTAAACGGAGTCACTTTGTTGACGATGTCAACCACACTTATCAAAAGACGGAAGGCATGAGCTGAATGGACTGGAAATCAGAACGATCGATAAATCAGTCAGAAAGAATGAATAACTAGCAGAGTTCGTTACAGTACCACAGTAGTAGGCTGCCCGAGAAGCTATACTCCTATACGTTTACAGCGGCAGGGATGTAACTGTGTCAAATTGATTTGATTTTGGAGTGAAATGGACTGAAAGGACTGATTGAACTTTTCCAACAGCTCTCCAACAGCTGTCGCGTATATTTGCCCCTACCGACAGCAAATATTTGGTACGACAGAGGCTCTTGTCGATACCGTACAAAATTATAATTCTAAAAAGCCTTCCTGCACTTCGTCGTAAAAAAGGCCCAATATAGAGAAAGGGAAACGGTAGAAAATATCCATATTTTCTACCTTCAGATGTGAATTACTAAGTGCTGTAAGAATACTCATAAATGAATGCTTCCATTCAAATGGCAGCTTGGCGTTATTGCCCTTTTATTTAAATTGAGACGGACGACCGAGCGCTTCAACCGTCATAGAATTACGCATACTCTCAAACACAGGAAAACTGTTCTCATGGATAATCAAAGAAAGACCGAGGTATACTCATTGCAGGAGTTTTCGTTCAAATCACATAGTCTTCCGGATGTATTACTCATGATCCGTAAACTTTGTACTGTTGTAGAGTCATTAAGCAACACCGAGAGTCGAGAGTTTCAGTAGATCTTGTATGCAATTTCCTCGAGTGGGGGGGGGTTGCACTTCATTCAATCGTCATCCAACAACATGGAAAGTTTTAGAATACCATATCATATCTAAACACATCAGTTCCATTTTGTAGGACAGACATGCAGAAACCATGGCTGCTTTTGAACTGAGGGGATTTATCTATATCTCGTGCCCCATTCCTAAAAAGGAGGTAGGGATTTAGTTTTTGATACTCAGTGTTGCTACTTTGGAAGTCTATCTACCCTGGCTAAGAGAAGAAGCGTGATTTAGGGCATGCATCCAACAAGCTAGCCGAACTCATGTACAAGGATGATACTATGCTGAAAAGTACTTACAAAACGGACTTGACAACTTGATGATTTCCTCATGCAACACAGGTGTTAAAGTTGGCAAGTGCCTTCACGGCCA